TTTATTCTATATATTCTATTCCTATTCCTTTATATTCTATTCCTTTAGCTACAAAAGGCAACATTCCATTCACTTTCTTTATTGTCTGCTGTACTTGCATTCTAGTTTTCTGTGACTCATGAACAAAGACACCCAAATCCCTCTGCACCTGAGCACCCCGAAGACTCTCTCCATTTAGGTAGGTCACCTTCCCATTTTTCCAACCAAAATACATGGTCTCATTATCCATGTTAAACTCCATCTGCCACATTTTGGCCCACTCTCCTAAACTATCTATATCCATTTGTAAGGTACTTATTTCCTCATTGCTATTCACCACCTCACTTATTTTTGTGTCATCTGCAAATTTGGAAACAGAGCCTTCTATCCTTGGGTCTGAGACGTTGACGTAGATTGTAAGTAGCTGGGGTCCAAGCACAGAACCCTGTGGCACCCTACTTGTTACTTACTGCCATCCAGAAAAAAACCCATTTATACTGACTCTCTGACTTCTGTCCATCAGCCAGTCACCTATCCAAGCTAATAAATTACCCCAATCCCAAATGATTGAACCTTGAGAACTAACCTTTTGTGCAGCACCTTATCAAATACCTTCCAGAAGTCCAGGTATGTTACACCTACAGGATCCCCATCATCCACTTTGCTGATTACACTACAGTCAGTCCCTTCATCCAAGTCAATAATATGAATATAAACTACTGAGGTCCCAGTAGTGATCAAACTTGAGTTACAGTTTGCCAAATTGAAAATAAACAATTTATTCTTTCTCTCTATTTCCTGTTATTTAGCCAATCACTGTCACTCAAATATATCACTTCCAATGCCTTGAGTTCTTATCTTGTGTCATAACATCATAAAATGCCTTTTGAAAATCCAAATGCACTGTATCTATTAGTTCTCGTTTATTCACTGTAGTGATTGGAATCAGCTGGATCTTGTTGACCATGAGATCCTTTATTGCGGTTGTTAATCTAAGCCAATCAGGAAAGCCGCGGCTGACCAATAAAACCAGAATGTCCTCAGTTCAAGCGACTGACTCCGAGCTGGCTGGCCACATCCGGTATACTGTGCAAAACAAAACCAGGTGATCCCCAGGATCCCATACCACCCCCTGTGCCCCACAACCTAAGTCACCTCTGGAATTTTAATTTTGTATCTTTAAAAGATGTGAAACAGTGGGACCTGTACAGGCTGCTGCAGCACACCATCCACCTCTTCCCGTTCATCTACCACCCAGACACACGTTTGTGTGCCCATTTGCCACCTGGCAGTGGAGGGCTCTCTACTTGGGAGTCCTCCCTCTTTCCCTCAGGGATCTGGGGTGGAGGGTGTTGAACGTAGCAGTCCCATGTAACTGCATATTGCGGTGGTACATGGACTCCCAGTCCAGCTGTTTGTTTTGCAGCGCAGTGGATTCCACGGACCATGTATATATTGGGTGTTGGCACTTGCACCCCCTTTTCAGTTAACTTCAGAACCTTCCCTTGTGTTTTTGGTTGCACTTCAGCCCCACGCTCCTGATCTTTGGGCACCTGGTGCAAAGGAGGCGGACAGGTCGGAGGATCTCCTCATGGGTCTTCTCCTGGGCCTGGTCAAGCTGGCCATTAACAGGTCCAGGCAGCAGGCCGTGGAGGGGGTCATTATGGCTAAGTTTGTGCCCAGATGTCCCTGCAAAAAGAGCGCATGGTATCCACCAATACCGCCAAAGTTTTTCGGGTGAGGTGGGCACTGCAGGGTGTTGAATTGCTTTATTTCCCCCTCCAATTCTATTTTAATTTGATCCCTACCCTTCCCTTCACCTTTTTATTCACATAGGCATTGCCCCCAGGGGGTTCTGCTTGCTACTGGGTCTATGGTCACATGAGTGTTTTTCCTGGTGGGGGTCTATCAGTAAAGTTATTTACACACCTCGTGTTTTTACTCTGTCCCATACCTACACAAACACATAAAGATGCTGGGGAAAATAAACACTACTGCTGTATGGCAGTAAGTTGGGTGTATAGAAAGAAACATATAACCAGGAGATTAGAATCTCCTCAGAAAAAGAAAATATAACCAGGAGATCCCAAGGATCCCCTACCTTCCTCGGGAGCCTGTGCCTGACAACCTAAGACACCTCCGGAATTTTTGTTACACGCCAGTAAAGGAATGAAACAACGGGCCCCATACAGGCTGCTGCTGCACACCGTCCACCCCTTCTCCTTCCTCCACCGCCCAGAAACGCCTAGCTGTACCCGTTTGCCACTGGGCAGTGGATATCCCCGGTGGAGGGCTCTCTGTGCAGGAGTCCTCCCTCTTTCTCACGGGGATCTGGGGTGGAGGGTGTTGAACGCAGCAGTCCTATGCAACTGCAGATTGTGGTGGGTCATGGACTCCCAGACCAACTGTTTGTTTTGTGGTGCTGTGGAGTCCGTGGACCATGTCTATATTGAGCGTGGTGCTTGCACTCCCTTTTCAGTTATCTTAAAGACCTTTTCCTCTGCTTTGGCTGCACTTCAGCCCCACGCTCCTGATCTTTGAGCACCAGGGAGCGAGCAGGTCAGATGATCTCCTTGTGGGTCTGCTCCTGGGCCTGGCCAAGCTGGCCATTAACAGGTCCAGGCAGCGAGCTGTGGAGGGGGTCATTACTGCCGGCTACCTGGCCTTCTTCCGCGGGAAAGTTCAAGCCTGGATGTCCCTGGAGAAGGAGCACACGGTGTGCATCAACACTCTTGATGCCTTTCAGAAGAGGTGGGCACCGCAGGGAGTGGAGTCTTTTATTTCCCTCTCCAACCCTGTTTTGATTTGATCCCTACCCTCCCCCTCACTTTTCCTTCACATAGGCATGCCCCGGCCAGGGCTTACTGGTTCCCTGGCCCTGTGGGTGTTTTTCCTGGTGGTGGAAATGTCAAATAAACTTATCTACACTGGTGTTTTCACTATGTTTTGTACCTACACACACACACACACACACACACACACACACACACACACACACACACA